CCCCGGACACCTCCGGTCCCGGGGGTTCTGTCCCCTGAAGCCCCTCCCAGGGAATTCGGCTCTGCCCCGGGTGCCTCCCCCCGCCCCCTCCCAGCTGAGCTCTCCCCTGGGGCCGCGGTTCCCCAGAGACCCCCAAACCCCCCGAGCTGGGGCTGCTCGGGGCTCCAGCTGCTCCAGCACCGCCCCCAGGGGCACAAAGCAGAGCCCGGGGGGCAGCGGCACCCCCTGACCCCCCCTCCCTTCCCCGGGCCGGGCCGTGGAGGTGACGCCCCCACTCTCCGGACAAGCCCCCCGCCCGCCCCGAGGCACCGGGACCCCCCAGCACCCCCCGCTCCGCCCCTTCTCCCGCTCAGCCCCGGATTTGGGGGGTCCCGGGAGGGGGAGACAGCCACCAGCTCCCCCCGCAGCCCCCTCCCCTCCTCCTGCAGCCCGGGGCTGGCGGGGCCGCGGCCGGGGGGTCCCAGGGCGGCGGGGCCGGGAGCTCGGAGCTGCCTGACAGATGGTCCGGGCAGCGCTGGGAGCCCCCGCACCATCTGCCGGGGGTCACGGGTGACCCCCAAACCCCGCCGCGGGGGAGGGGGGCATGCCAGAGCTTGATTTATAGAAATGCGCTGGGAAATCGGGGAGGGGGCGGCTCTGGGGGGACCCGGGGGTGTCCCCGCGGCCGGGGTGACACGGGGAGGACACGGGGGGTGACACGGAGCCATTTGAGGGGTCCAGCCGGGTGACACGGGGGTGACACGGAGCCGTCTGAGGGTCCCCAGCGCTGGGGACACGGCCGAGTGGCCCGGGCCAGCCGGGGGGCGCCGGGGGGGACAGAGCAGGGGCGAGGCTGCCCCAGCCCGGCCCGGAGCTCCGGGGGCGGGGGGCTCCTGCCCCCCCGGCTCCTCCTCGGTGCCAACCTCACCCTCCATGGTGCCAATCGCCCCCGCTGTCCCCAGGTTCACCCAGAGCCCCGGACCCCGTGAAATCGCTGTTCCTACACCCATTCCTGGCCAGAACGGAGGAAAAACCCCCGCGGGAGGGTCCTGGGGGGCTGCCCCTGGCGGGGGGGCTGCGGTGCTGGGCACTGGGAATATTCTTTATATATTATAAACCTATATTATTTATACGTTGTAAATAAATTTTTATATCTGTATGTAAATACATTAAAACCATATATAGAAGTATATTTTTAATATATATATATATATATAAACATATTAAAACATATATATGCACAAATATATATGAAGTTATTTAAATATATATATACACATATACATATATACAAACATATTAAAACATATATAAAAGTATATTAAAAATATATATAAGTATATTGAAACATATATATATATAAAAGTATCTCTCTATATATAAAGTATATTAAAGCATATATATACATACATATATATTAAAAAGTATATTTTATATATATATATAAAAGTATCATTATATGTATATATAAAAATGTGCATATATATATAAATATGTGTATATATAAATAAAAATATATATATAAAAATGTGTATGTATATATATATATATATATATATATATATATATGTATAAAAAGTATATTAAAGCATACCTAAAACACCTCTTATATATTAAAAATCCGCTCCTAAAAACGCGCACTAAAGCCCCCGGGAAGTTCCCCGGGAAGTTCCAAGCGCTGCCGGGATGACGCCGCGTGGGGAAACGAGACAAAAACGAGCGGCGCAGGGAGAGGGCCGGGCAGGAGAGGAGGGGCAGCTGTGGGCAAGCAGCCCCCAGCCATCTGTTGCCAGCCCGGAGCCCCCGGGGCCCCCCAGCCCGGAGCCCCCCGCCTGGCGCGGCCCCTCGGGGGTCCCGGCCCCACCTGAGGCAGCGCCGCTCCCGCCCAGGTGCGCCCGGCACGGCTCAGCTCGGGGGGCTTTGTCCCCGCTCCCACCTGGGGGAAGGTCGAGGTGTCCCCTGGGCTCCACTCAGAGCGCGCACCGTGTGGTTTTCCCCGTTTTTTCCGTGGTTTTCCCCCGTTTTTCCCGTGTTTTCCCCCATTTTTCCCGTGTTTTCCCCCACTTTTCCCGGGTTTTCCCCATTTTCCCGGGTTTTCCCCATTTTCCCGGGTTTTCCCCATTTTCCCGGGTTTTCCCCATTTTCCCGGGTTTTCCCCATTTTCCCGGGTTTTCCCCATTTTCCCGGGTTTTCCCCATTTTCCCGGGTTTTCCCCATTTTCCCGGGTTTTCCCCATTTTCCCCCCTGCTTTCCCCATTTTTCCCCGTTTTTTCCCCATTTTCCCCATGTCTCCCCCATTTTTCTCGTGGTTTTCCCCCGTGTTTTCCCCATTTTCCCCGTGTTTTCCCCATTTTCCCCGTGCTTTCTCCATTTTCCCCCGTGTTTTCCCCATTTTCCCCGTGTTTTCCCCATTTTTCCCGTGTTTTCCCCCCGTTTGTCCCGTGTTTCCCCCGTTTCCCCCATGTTTTCCCCGTTTTATCATGTGTTTTCCCAGTTTTCCCAATGTTTTCCCCATTTTCCCCGTGTTTCCCCAATTTTTCCCTTGTTTTCTTGGGCTTTTCCCTATTTCCTCCATGTTTTCTTGGGGGTTTTTCCCCCGTTTTTCTCCAAGTTTTATTGGATTTTTTCCCCCGTGTTTTCTTGGGTTTTTTTTCCCCATTTTCCCTTTGGTCTTTTTCGTCTTTTTCCTCGTTTTCCCCTGTGTTTTCTAGGGTTTCCCCCCGTTTTCCCCCATGTTTTATTGAGTTTTTCCCCTCTTGTTTTATTGGGTTTTTTCCCCGGTGTTTTATTGGGTTTTTCCCTCCGTATTTTTTTGTGTTTTTTCCCTGTTCTCCCAATGCTTTATTGGGTTTTTGCCCTCTTGTTTTCCTGGGTTTTTTCCCCATTCTCCCAATGTTTTATTGGGCTTTTCCCTCCATATTTTCTTGGTTTTTTTCCCCGTTCTCCCAATGTTTTATTGGGTTTTTTCCCCCATGTTTTATTGTGTTTTTCCCTCCATGTTTTCTTGAGTTTTTTTCCCCGTTCCCCCAATATTTTATTGGTTTTTCCCCCATGTTCTCTTGCTTTTTTTCCCGGTTCTCCCCTGTCGAGCTCAGGGAACCGGGACAGAAGCAGCAAGCAGCGGCTGCCCGCGGAATCCGGGCATCACCCCCAGCCCAGCTCCAGGAGAGACCCCCGGGAGACCCCAGGGAAACACGAGAGACCCCCGCTGCTTTTAGGGTGGCTGCGGGATTTTGGGGACCGTGTCTGGCTCCCGCCCCGAGAGATCCCTGCGGGATCCACCCCAGCCCGGTGAGGATGAGGAGGGTCGCGGCTCCAGCTGAGCCCCCGGCAGGCGAAGCTCCCGGCTTTAAACCTTAATCCGGGCCCTGGGGAGCGGAGCCTCCCTAATCCCGGCCGGAACCGATCCGGCCGGAACTGCCCCGGTGGGCTCGGGCCACATCTGCTCCAGCGAGGCCTGAGAGGATGAGGATGAAGATGAAGGTTTGGAACCATTTAGGGCCCTGGAGCTCCTCGTCCACGGGAGGATCTGCAGCTGGATCCGGCCCCGGAGCGGCACCGCTGGGATGATCCTAAAAAACAGCTGGGCTGATCCCAAAAATCCACTGGGCTGATCCCAAAAACCGGCTGGGATAATCCCAAAAAAACCACCGGGACCATCCCAAAAAACCGCTGGGCTGATCCCAAAAACCCGCTGAGCCGATCCCAAAAAACCCCGGGGGGGTTCCTGCATTTGGGAACGCCCCAAGAGTCTCAGCACACTCCTTTGCAGCCCTGAGCATCAAATTCAGGGAGAAACCACCCCAAAAAGCGCAGCCCGGAGCTGGGAGGGACCCCCGGAGCTGGGAGGGACCCCCGGAGCTGGGAGGGACCCCCGGAGCATCCCCCAGCCCAGGGGTGCAGCCCAGGGGGAGGGGTCGGGCCCTGCCAGGATTTTGGGATGGCATATCCGTATTTATCCCGGGGATGGAGGGGTGGGGGGGGAGCAGAGCAGAGCCCCCCCGAGCCCCCCCAGCGTGGCTGGCAGCTGGGCCGGGGTCTCCCCGGAGCTGGGGTTAATGAGGGAGCGGCGGCCGTTGGTCCCAGATGGACACGGGCACAGGGAGGGGGCGGCTCCTGCGGGGTCCTGCCCGCCTTTTGGGGCGGGGGGAGGCAGAGCCCCCCGCTCCTGGCGCTGCCCAGAGCCCCCCGAGGGGCGGGGGGAGGGCGCTGATCCCCTTCCCGCACCCCTCCCTTTCCAGGGGCCGTTCCGAGGATGGAACAACCGCAAAACCAAACCCTGGGGGCTTCCAGCACCCCAAACCTTGTCCTCGGGGGTCCCGACTCCCCAAATTTCATCCTCCGGGTGATCCAGCACCCCAAACCTTGTCCTCGGGGGTCCCGACTCCCCAAATTTCATCCTCCGGGTGATCCAGCACCCCGAACCTTGTCCTCGGGGGTCCCAACTCCCCAGATTTGCCCCTCAAGGGCTCTGGCACCCCACAGCCCATCCTCTGAGGGGTCCCCCAGGTGGGGACCGAGGGGTGGGCACTGCACCCACCCTGCCCGTGGCACAGCGTGGGCACACACGGGTCCCTGGAACTCGCCACGGTGGATCCGGGGATGCTCAGGGGGTGCCGAGGTTGCCGAGGCGATCTCGGGGATGCCCAGGGGGTGCTGAGGATGCCCAGGGGGTGCCGGGGATGCCCAGGGGGTACCGGGAATGCCCAGAGGGCACCAGAGATGCCCAGGGGGTACCGGGGATGCCCAGGGGGTGCTGAGGATACCCAGGGGGTACCGGGAATGCCCAGAGGGTACCGGAGATGCCCAGGGAATACCAGGGATGCCCAGGGAGTGCTGAGGATGCCCAGGGGGTACCGGGGATTCCCAGAGGGTACCGGGGATGCCGAGGCAATCTCGGGGATGCCCAGGGGGTACCGGGGATTCCCAGAGGGTACCGG